CGCTAGACAAGCAACCTGCTTATATGTAGCCGAGATACTACTAAGCTACTAATATTAAAATGCTGTTTGCTTGTCTAGCGGAACCCGTTTCCTGCCATTTGAATGATAACAGAACAAGAATATACATGAATGAGGTTGACCTGGTGTAGTTCCCGATCCCCACCCTCCCCCAACTATTTCCGGTTATTCGTTCGATACACATTTATTTTTCCACGGATTTCCGCGATATACGGTGGTGTTCACAAAATTTGAAACACAGGAATGGCGATGAAAGGTACGCGCAAATATCCTCCTGTGTACTATAGAAAGAACGATATCAAAGTACGTCTGTCACTGTTTTCGTAACCTGGAAAGAACACATCTAACACTCCTTCTTTAGAGAACCCACAAATCCCTAAACTTTCTCGCGAAGCACCCGCTTGTGAGGCGCCATCCTAAGAACCTTAACAGATTACTTTAGCTGATTAACGTAATCATGCGCAAATGCTTTGTGACAGTTGCCTTCATTCAACCTACCTGCATCCACTGATGAGTACTAATTGCAACAATTTTACACTGCGTACAACTAAGTGTGACATCTTTAGAAATTCTGCACAAAGTCTACCGTGGCGTGATTGCAACTGTTTTCCCTTCCTAGAGGATTCCGGAACTCTGTTGCAAAGTTATTACCACTGTTGGAACTGTAGGGAATTCCAAGCCGCCATTGTGCTAGACTCTCGATGAAGCCATTTCATTTCGTTAGTAGCATGGTGCACAAGAGTCCAGCACCACTAATGGCGATATCAGCAATTTTAGTGGACCTCCGGATAGGTAGGTCCAGTCCTGCACTGAAGGGCGCTGCTGATGTTATCAGTAGTTCAGCGAATTCACAGTTCCGAAAATAGCTCCTGGGAAATTTCAATGGGTTTTTTCTTCGAAATTTTCATGCCAAAAACACTGTTTTCTTGAGAAAACATGCTCACTTGTTGTCTGTTTTTTTATGGGTGACGACACCGTAGGTAATAGTGTGGAAAAGACTTATTCAAACTGGATTGTATAAAACGATTTAACTTAGTAGTCGCAGAATTCCATTTCACTCATTCGTACGGTAATATTTAGTTGGGAAAACCCTTAATTTATCTGTGTAAAACTCTACTAAAACTCCTTCCAGATAAACGTAATACGTTCAAGTAATGTTAATTCAAGCAACGGCTGACGATAAAGCATCGCTTATCGAAAATTTGATTCGGAAAATTCTAGGCTTATCCATCTTGTTAGAATTCCAAGGAAACCATGATATTCCACAAACTCTGCATACCAGGGTAATCGGGATCAGAAACAAGCAGTTTGATTTAAATTTCAGCTTTTGGCTTGCTCAGAGCGTTCCGATATCATTCGCGTATGAAACACCCGAACCAGTGGACCGTCAGTTCCCCATCCGGAGTGAACGTGAAGCACAGTCTGTTGTGCAGTTGACGTGCC